TGAAGCAGGTTCTTGGGGCAGCACTGGAGGAGAGGCAACTACGGGAGGCGCAGCTGCTCCTTCTAACCCGTGGGCCGCATCGACGTGGGGTGATGATCAATGGTACAACGCGAACAGTTACTTCAATAACTACCAGCATCAACCGCAGGGCTACCAAGCGGGACAGGGGCAACAACAGCATGCTGCTCATCAGCAACACGCGAATCAGCATCAGCAGCATTGGCCAGGCGTGATGAGTCAGCAAACTTCACACCAAAATCAGCAGGCACAACTACAAGCAGCTTCTAGTACAGCCGCAGCGCAAGCTCTAGCCGGGGCAAACAACGCCTCCTCCGCTACAGCAGCGAATAGTGGCTCTTCATTCGACTGGTGGGTTAATCATCCAAGTGCAGCTGCCTCAACAACTACGACAGGAGCATCAGGTGCACGCTCATCTAGTACTGCAGCTGGTGCCGCATCAGCATCCAATTCTGTGAATGAAGCAGCGCTGTGGAATGCCATGATGGGCGGAAGTAATCAAGGCTATGATCAAGGGGCATCTTCGGAAGCCTATGGAGCTGCAGGAGGTCTCAGCGGTGGCTGGTTTGAAGGGCACCATAGTGCTGGGCCACCTCCGGATGGAGGTTCTTCGAAGGCTACTCCACAGTCAAATCCGGGAACGATGCATAGTGTTCAGAATCAGATGGCAGGCCTTGCTTCTCAAAGCGGCGGGGGTCCACTGTGGAATCCATTCATGTCAGCTTCAACGATGATGAACAACATGCAACAACAGCAAATGCATCAGCAAAGTCTTCAACTGCAGCAAAACCAAGTGCAACAACAGCAACAGCAGAGTAGGGGTCAGGCTGCATGGTGGACGGAACAGATCAACTCACTTACTGGTACATATCAGCAGCAGCAAGGGGAACTACAGCCACATCCTCAAGCGGGCAAAGGCGCATCCGCGTCGGCTCCGACGGGGAGGCCGACCATGGCACCTGCTTTTAACCCGGGAAAAGGTGGCGGTAGTCAGCTGCATACAGGTGGAAGCCATGTCGGAGGACAGCACCCGCCTCTTCCCATGAACAAAGGTGCTGGCAAAAATCCAAATAACGCAGCTTCTTCTACACCTTCTGGACCTGCAACTGACATCCTCGTGAACCGCAATCCTTTTGAGGATGATCTCTATGAGAAGAAACGTGGAGGCAACTGCAAGGATTTCGATTCTTCTATGCATCCTAAAACGTATTACATCGACCCTTATTCGCCACTACAGGAGCATGATGACCCTCTGGAGTGCTTTGTGAGGATCGAATCCGAGTGTGAGCCATGGTCTCGTATGCGAGCGCTGGAACAGCGAAGATTCGCTTGGGCCGAAAAACGAGCCTTGGACTACAAATCCTTGGAAGCTGTGCTTTTTGTGGTTCATCGATTGAGGAACATGCTGCGCAGTTTGCGTTTGTGGATGGATCCGGGACGTGGCTTACTCGTAGATGCAAAGTCGGTGCAACTGTCAGTCTCCGACTCTGGCACAACTGGGTGTACTCCAGCAATGGCGAAGTTGGGCATTCCAAAGGTGAAAACTGGAGGACCTCAGAGTCACATGCACCAAAGTCAGGCGATGACTGCTGCTGCTGGTGGTAAGGGAAAAGGAGGTGGAAAAGGTCTTGGTGGAAAAGACTCGTCGACTTCATCTTCTAACTTCTATCCCTCTGGAAGTCATGGCCCATCTGCTTACGCTGCCACGCTGGTCGATCGCGAGCACGCTGAGCAGATGCAGCCTGATCCGAGTGGAAAGACAAGACCCCCTCGCGAGCTCAGTAGGAAAGAGCAAGCAGTTCGTGGAGGATGGATAACGACTACTTGTGCTGATTATCATGCTGTTTACACGCAAGCGACACAGAAACTCTTGGCGACTACGCGAGACGAATCTTCAGTCGTTGCAAAAAATTCTTCAGCCAAGTCGTCTTCCACGTCCACATCTATTCATCTACCTAACGCTCATGGAGGTCCCAGCTACGACTTGTTCGGACCTAGCATTTCTGACTGGGCACAGCAGCGGAAAGCGCCTCACATGTGGTCTCTTCCTGCTTTAACCGCTTGTAATCTCATCCGATCCCCTGACCGACAGATACAAAGACTCATTCCGATCGTTGCGTCTGGTGCTGCTCTCTTTTTCCGCATGATGGGACGCATTCAGAATTCCTCCATTGTGGAACACAATGATGAAGCAGCTGCATCTTGTCGCACTAGTCTCAGTCTGAGTCGAGTCAACGAGTTTAGGATCCTGTTCGGTGGGCACCAAAAGTATCAATCGTTTCCAGCGTTGGACATCCCAGAGGTCGAAATGGATAGGCAGAACTTGGAGATTCAGGATGACAGAGGCAGAAATGTTGAGGCTGAGGCTGAGATGCAGAAGGAAATGCTGGTTGGGGCGATGAGTGGAGGCTCGCGTACTGGTCGACCTACAAGTGGTAACAATAAGGATACAACTGCAACTGTTGACTTGCCTATTCTTCACCAATTCCAATCCCTAGCCAAACCTGCAGAGCGAAGAGCGGAGCAAAATTTTCATCGGTTACTACGACAAGAGGAAAATAGACACACAGAGGCGCTTCTTGAGGCAAGCGGCATTTATCAACATCAGGCGGCTGCTGAGAAAGAGAAGGCAGCGACTTCTGTGACTGGTGATGCAGCTGACGTGGACTCATCGTCTGGAAAGGGAGTTGGTAGGGGTGCAGATATCAACATGAAAACGTCACCAGACGAACCAACATCTAAAAAGCATGATGAGTTGGATCAGGAAGTCAGCCCTTCAAATCCGATTGCTGACCTCTTCCAGCGAGTCTTGAAAATTCACAACAGTCCTATTGAGGGAGCAGAAAATGCGAGAAGTAAGGAGACGACAACTCTTGCAAACTCTTCTTCAGGTGTACAGCCACAGGCGACTGCTGGTAATTATACTGTAACTACAAACTTGAACAAGACCAACATCAAGAGCAACAAGTGCAGCGCAGCTTCCTACGATAAGAAACTTCTCAACGATGCGCAAAAACTACAAGTTGGGAAGTCATCTTTGTTGGACGACATGACTACAAACAACGTGAAGAATTCAGCACCAGGATCCGGAATTGCTGAACAAGATATGATCCACACTAGCAGTGCTGCAGCAATCTCTCCCGACGAGACAGACGATGACTTACCTTTACTCTTGTTGCTCTTGTTTCATCCGAGCGTGAATCTGAGTCGCCGTGAGGTCTTGATTGATTCGCACACAGGCATCGTGTGTGGAACGGACGCTGACACAAAGACACTCTTGAACTTCAGAGCTGCGGATCGAAGGCGAAATCAATTTGCTGTTATCGAAGAACAAGGGGAAAGTGGAGGCTTAGATGAAGCAGGTCGCGTTAGTGGAACTTTTTCTTTTCCGTTCAATGGAAGTGATAATCAACAGCTAAACGAGGTAGCAACCGAAGTGGAATTTTTACGCAGAAGAGGCAGGAACTTGGATCATGACACTTTAGAACAGAAAGTGGAGACTCAACTTTTAGCCTCTAGACCTGACAGCAATGCTGTTGTTGACAAATACGCTTCTGATGGAGCAGATGGTAGTTGTACTAAACTTCCCAGTAACAAAGACGAGAAATGCAGATGGAACAAACAGAAAAGGAACTGGCGAACGCGCTTGCATTTGGGTGAACGCTATTCAAAATACAAGATGCAGGCTGCAGCTTTCCCAAGTATAAATCCGCAGTCGATGCAGCTACAAGATGAACAGAAAAAAGAGTCAAAAACAACATCGACGTCTTTGTTCAGCTCAAACGCTGCCGCAGAAGGAGAGACCGCACAGGCCCGAGCCGTTCGCGAAGCTGCGCAGGCAGCATTGACAGCCGGGAACGCGTCTCCAGGCCGTGATCGGCAGGCAGGCGCTTCTTCCAAGGAAGGTCAAAAGCCGCCTGTTTTACAGAAGCAGGCTAACAACAAGCGCAGTTGGGACCAGCACGAGGGATCATCAGCGTCGAAAAATGCGGGCACAAGAGCTGTTGTCGCTTCGTCGTCCTCTTCTAGAAAGCCAGAAGACGCAGCTCCTTCGTCATCTCCTGTACCACCCACTCCGCTGCCTCCAGTTCTCAGTCTACGTTTCGAGTTCCGGATGCCTCGAATGTTAGAGTTAACCATGCGTGGTCTAGGTGGATGGAACGAGTTCTTGTTAAATCGCAGATTTCCCGAGCTAGCATCAGTTCGACGCGATCTCCTGGACGAGTTCGCTTTTCCGACTGCAGCACTGTTACAACATGAGTACTTTGGCTTGACAAAACAGGTTCTGAAAAAGAACAACGCGCCAGGTGGCGCTGCTACTATCCAGACGCAAAGACTGAAACCAAGCAAGAAGATGCGACATCTTCGTTTTCGATTGGGGCAGAGACCAGAGAATCCATGCTTTTTGATGTCTGAAAGTGCAATGGCACAAATTGACTATCGGGCAAGAAACGAAGCAACGGCTTTGTGTGACTTTGTCGACACTTCAGGAGCGCAAGCATCGTACTCTTCTTTAGCAAAGTACAAGAAGACTCCTGACGAGTTTTTAGCATCTATGAAACAGCAGATCAGCAATGCCGAATCTTGGGACGCTATCGACGATATCATTTTCACAAAAGCCAGCACACTTGCGAGAACACACAAACGTGCAAGCGGCCATTTCGCTCACTCAAAACTGGAAAAAGCTCGTGCGTTGGCCGACAAAAACGGAAAGGACTACAAGCCGTCGACGGAGGACACAACAACTACTCGCGAAGCTAGTACTAAAGACAGTCCTAAAACGGGTGTTGATCAAGATAAGAAAAGGGTGGAAAGGGTTACTACAGCAAGTGCCAGAGCTGCAGGAGAAAGAAATCGTCGCGGAGATAGAGACGACCGTGGACACGGAGTTAAAAAAGATTCTAGTGGTCGCGGCAGAGACCGAGATCGACGTGAGAGCCGGGATCGCGAACGGGATCGCGAAGGGGAGCGCGAACAAGAAAGGGATCGAGAGCGAGATCGCGAACGGGAACAAAGAGGAAGAGATCGCGATCGCGATGCAAGTGATCGACGGGATCGCGATCCTTCTCCTCGGCGGGGTATCTTACGCGGAGACTGGGAAAAGCAAGACGATAAGACCAAAAAGAGGAAAATTGAGGGGCAGGAAAAGGAGAAGGAGAAAGATCGTGCTCAGGACAAGAAGCGTGAGGATGTTGTAAAGGACCAGCGAGATGACCAGCATGGACCACGAGAGGACACGACTGACAACGTCTCTGATTCCTCTGAAGATGAGCGAGACCCGAAGTTGCTTGACCGCGCCTTGCTTGAGTTGGGAGAAGGAGGAAGGAACAGGAAAGCGGAAGAGGAGAAGGAAAAAGCCAAAAATGTCCTCAAAACGACCGCCGAGAGAGGCGACCCAGACACGATTTCTCGCTACGAAGCAAGCAGAGGTCTCATGAGCAGAATTCGATCGCGCTTGATGACCATCGCCGAAGTCGAAGAGGAGGAAAAAGACCAAAAAGAGAAAGATCATCAAAGAAGATGGGAGAGAAAGTTTGCAGGGACTGGTGCTGGAACATCTTCTACAACTTCGTCTAGAAGTACAACTTTGAAACGGCCCAGAGAGGACGGAAGGTGGGACCAGGATTGGGAAGATCATGAAGAAGACGATCTAGAAGCTGGCGTGACCGCAACTTCTTCAGCTTGCCGAACTCGTCGTAGAAACAAAAGGGCGCAAGGTGAAGAGAGAAAAGACTTGCATCCTATCGTTGATCGCATCAAGAAATTCAAGAAGGGCTCCAAAACTTTGGCGGAATTTGAGTTGTCTCTGCGTCAAGAGTTCCAAACCACGCAGAGCCATATTTCCTATCTCAGAGAACGCATGGCACACCTGGGGATCCCAGACAATCCAAATGCGATTGGCCCATCCTCGTCTCTGTCTTTTCAAGGTTTACTGAAGCGACTGAGGAACGGCTTAGACGTTGTGGGACGCGAATATCAGAAGTTACCTCACGTCTCTCAGCCGCCTCCTGTCTTTTACAATAGTACTGGTGGAATTGCTGGTGGTGGTGCTCCGAAGAGTATGCCTGTGCCGCCTCCAATAGGTGACTTACAAGAGAGCGATCTCATTCTTTCTGGTCCTAAGGCCTCGCCTCGTCCACCACCAGCGGCCGTTGCTGCCCCACCGTTGCTTGGGTCGCTTCTGCAACGTGCACCTCCACAACATATAGCTGCCATTGTACCAGCCACCTCTGCCTCATCAGACCCATTAAAGAATCCGTATGCGAACATCGCTGTTCCGCCAGTTCCGAACTCGTTCCCTCAAGGCGCTCCTTGGGGTTTAGGAGGTGCTTCATCTACGAACAAGCCTCCACCTGATGTCGAAGGACGAGCTGAAAGGGATAGGGAACTACAGCATGGAAAAACAGAAACAGACAGTTTGTTGTCTTGGCAGTGGCAGAGTCATTCTCGTGATTGGAATTGGATGTACGACGACCCTTACTACTACGACGAGATTCAACAGAACTGGGACTCAGAATGGTGGCATGATGGTAGCTACTCTTATGGTGGACCTGGAGGTGCTGGTGGTAAGGGTAAAGGACCTGGAGCTAAAGGAGCTGGTTGGTATGATTACCCTGGTAGTTATGGAGCAGGAGGTCCCGCCGATGGTTGCTGGTCTTCGTGGTACGGACCGCCGGGTCCTGACTTCTTTGCTGGTGGGAAGGGTCTGTTTGGAGCAGGTCCTCCAGGTGCTGCACCGCTTCCGCCATGGCTCGGACTTGGAACGCCACTAGGACCGCCACCGGTTGCTCCACCCTTCGGATTTCCACTAGGGCCTCCACTTGGGAAAGGTAAAGGAGCCTTTCCTGTGCCTGCGGTGCCCATGAAAGGCGGCGCACCTGCTGACCGTCCACCAGGTTCTCAGTTCATGAGCGATGATCCGAGATTCCCACCTTTGTTGCGGAATGTGATTAATGCACAAGCAGCAGCAGCAGCAGGAGGAGGACGTGATGAAAAGAAGGATGGGGCTACCAATAAAGCATCAGCCGTAGAGGAGAGAAAAAAAGAAAAGAGGAAAGCAGCTCGTGCCAAAAAGCAAGCTCTTGAAGAACAAGCTGCTCTTGATGCTGCAACAGATCCTCATCTAGGAACTGGAGGTTCTTTAGGAATTCCATTGCAAGACTTGGATGTTGACGATGAAAGTTCGAAATCCAAGGACGAGCCGGACATGCAACGTCACACCTTCTGCGTTTTCACTGTCAGTGGTGAGCGTGACGTCTTTGCTGAATTGCTCGAGGCAGATGCGCAGAAACAAATGACGAGAGAGATGAATCGTCGCCAGGCAAAATTACGAGGTCGTGGTGCACCGGGACAGCAAGGAACTTCAGGCGATAACAACTCACTGTCACTACCTGGAAGTGCAAATGCTAATGCTTTTTACACTGCTCTCTGCAGCAAGGAAGAACGAGATCGCGCGCTGAAAAACGCGAACCGCAAAAAGCTCGACGAGGAGACCGAAAGACCCGACGAAGCTCGAACAAAGTACCTCTTTTTCGACACGAAACTGGCAGAAACACTTTGGGAGTTGCGTGGAAAGTTGCGGTTTCTGCTCTCAACCACGCCTGGCGCACCAGCAGAGTGTTTTTCTGAGAAAATGCGCAACGTTTTTGCGAAGATGAATCAACTACTGACCGTCACCAAAATGTGCACTATCATCAAGAAACACGGTGGATCTGATCCTGAAATCATTTTACCTGCAGTGCAAAGAGCGAAGTACGAAAAAGCGAGGCTACTGCAGGAGAAACAGATGAAGTTGAAGGCGCCAGACTTCCCAGATCCAAGTATACAATTGGGTGTTGGCGGACTCCTCCACCTTGAGGGTGGTGTAGATCTTCATGATGTTGAAATGTCCTCGCAGGCGAAAGCGCAAGAAATAGAAAGTAGTGCTGTGGAGAAGATTCCCCTTCTCGGGGGAGACGACACAGAGGATGAAGATGCAACTGAGGAGGAGCAAGAGGGTGCTGGCGAATCTGGAGGTGATGAAGATGACCTTGAAGAAACGTTGTCAATGCTAGCAGCTATTCCTGAAGATAGGCCTCTCGTGTCTGGTGAAAGCAGGAACACTGCAGCTAAAAAGAAGAAGCAACTTGAAGGCAGCAAGAAGAAGGCCAACAAGCAATGTGCTGGTCAACGCGACAACAAAACATCAGAAGCAAAGCCCCAGGGGACCTCTAAATCTAAAGCACTGTTGGCCGAAGCGGCAGCGAAGACTGTTTCCACCTCGCGTGGCTCACTTTGTGCGATTCGCTGTTACTATAAGCGTCGACCTACTGGCGTTGAGCGGTTCTACGAAGAGCGATCGTTTACAGTCCCCAAAGCACTGAAGGCGGCTGATCTCATTCTGCGCGACTCCATTGGACCAAGTGCACTGGGTTGTGGAGCTGTGCGTGGACGCAGCACTTTGACTTCCACGTTGGCGAAGAAACCGGAGGCTGGATCATCGAAAGCGAGTGCGGAGGCTGGGCCAACCACGACTGGAGCGACAAGCAGGACGCATGTTGACGGAAAAGACCAGCACCGGCAAAACAGGAAGGATATCAAGGTGGAGACACAGAATAACAAGGGTACGACAAAGCTGACCCCGAAATTGGCTTGGCGACAGCCTCCTGCATCGGATGAAGCGAAGAGAAGCAAAGACGCAGCAGGGCAGGATGCGAAGATGAAAGGCGAAAATGATGGAGAACCTTCAACTAAGCGTAGGAAAGTTACTCCGACGACCAGCACCACTCACGTAAAGTTGGAGCCGCAGACTCCAAATCAGACCGTCGGCGTTCCTCCCACACAACGTGTACTGAACCCTGCCTCGAACACTGACACGGTAATGGATGCTGCCACCTCTACTAGTCTCGAACAACTCCAAAGCGACATCGCCATGTTGACCAAAGAAGATATTGCTGCCATGTTCATGCCGCCTCCAGAGCAGCAGTTCCTGTTCCCCTCTGAGGCGCAGACTAATCAGGCAGCGTGGATATCAGATTCGAAGCTTACGAATACGGAGGTCAACCGCTTGCGCAAACTGAAGAACAAGGCTAACAAAAAGCTCGGCGAGGGCTACTTCAAGGAGGAGCAAGACAACATGGCAAGAGCGATCGCGCAGGGCAAAGCGAAAGAAGCGAAGCAACAAGAAAAACAAGTGAAGGAGCAGGAAAAAGCTGTGAGTAAGAATAATCCATTTGCTCAGGAGGACCAGGGACAAGCCCGTCAGGCAAGTAGTGCAGGTAACAACCCCTTCAACCAGCAAAGCAGTGCCAGTTCTACATCTACTGTACATCCATCTCAGGTAAAAAATCCATACCTTCCCTCACCTCCTAACGCAGCACCAGTATCCTCTCCAGTCCAACAACCGGTTCAACATCACCCTCCAATCATCATGAATCCCGAGGAACTGATAGTTCAACAGCACGAACATGCGCAACAAGCTGCTCTAGGAGTTGGAGTACCGCAGACTGCGTTTTCTCAGCTTGCACCAATGACAGCGGCGTCTTTTGCGGCTGCCGATCGAGGGATGATTACTACTAAGACGGCCAGGGAAGCAGTGCAGCTTGCGACGTCTTCGTCTGCAGGAGGCACTCCTGGTTCTGCGCCTATACCGAACACAGCTGCTGGAAGACGACCGGTGAGCAAGTTTTGGGAAGCTATTTCCGCTACATTGGCAAGTAATGTTCCGGAAGTTGTAAACCAAACATCTGTTGTACCTGCACTTACCAGAAAAGAACTGGGGAGGCTCCAGCTAACGGCGACCGGAACTGGAGCAAAAATTGGAGCCCCGACTGGGGCAGCCTCTTCTGGGGACGATCAGAAGCAATCCTTCTCTACTTCAGGCGTCTACAGAGCATTTGCAGCACCAAAAACTATCGGAAATCCAGACGCTCTGAAAAGTGCGGCCGCTGGTGTACTAGAGATCCCGGCAATCAAAAGTCATAATGCCAGTGTAGCAAATCCTTTTGTCTCTGCTCCGCCAACACCTAGAGTAGGAGCTTTGTCTGGAGTAGGGCAGACCACTCTGGGAGCGTTTCCGCCAATATTAACTTCTACTACTCCTGCAGGCATGTCCTCTACTTCTATGACTCCGGAAGATGCAGAAGCGTACAAGAAAGTGATGAGTCTGTTTGGAGAGACTGACACTGGTGCATCTTCTGCTGCTTCCACCTTGCCTCCATCCATCGCGGAACTCTTCGGCTCTAGCACCAGTGGTGCTACGTCTTCTTCTGGAACCTCACCTGCGACCGTAGATATTCTTGCACGTTTAATGGGCGGGCAGCCCACGACGTCATCTTCAGACAAGATGCCGATGCCACCGCCTCCGACTAAGATGCCTCCTCCACCTCTGAAGAGCACTACGACGCCAACTGCGAACTACAAAGCTCAAGAACAACACGCTGGAGAAAAAGCTGAAGACAAAAAAAAGACTAAGCAGAAACTCAAAGTGGATTTTGGTAGAAATCGTCCTGCCTGGTCTATTCGAGATGAGGCAGAAAGTATGGTAATTGCATCTTCGTCTTCGTGGGCTGTTCCTGGTGCACAGTCTGCTTCATCCACCTCGTCTGGAGGTGGAGGCGATCCCCTTGCTGCGGCATTAGAGGCATTTGTTGAAGCTGGAGGCGATCCTTCGATCTTGGACTTACCTAGTAGTGGAGACGCTGGTGCACCACAACTGCCGCATCTGTCATCTTCAACCAGTACGGGCACACCTCCAGGTACATCTTCATCCTCAGCACAGCAAGGACAAGGACAAGACGCCGCCACTAAGAAAATTCCCAAAGGAATGATGGTAGGGGAGCAACCGCAGAACAAGAAGTCACAAGGAGCTGCGTTGCTAGAATACCAAAAGCAGAAGAAAAAACGTGTCCGGGCGCATAAAGGAGCAGAAAAACGCGCCGCTGCCGTCGGCGTCTTGCGACCACCAGTAGCTGTCTTGCCACCACCAAGCGTGGCGAAACGCACCTCCAATGAAGCACACATCAAGAGACATGATGATACTACAACAGGCACTACTCCTGGTCAAGGTCATGAATCTCGTGCACTAGCAGCAGCATCTTCTGCTGGAGCGTCCCCTTTAGAGAGAGAGGCGGGACGCGATGTTAGTAACGAAGATTCTGCCGCGATGTTGAACCCGTTTGGGTCGGATTTCGATGACGTTGGAAATCCTTTCTTGTAGAAGGATTTCAGATTTATCCTTTGTAGGATGAGAGGAGAAAGAAGGACGTAACACAAGTCTCGACGAAATGCAGTTGGCACGAGGATGGACAGTGAATTTCGTGTACTAGAAGAAAAAAAATAATGATTCAACTTGATGTAGGCACAAGTTGTAGAAGCACCGACATGATCATGCATGCTTCATACGATATTGTGGAGGTTGATGTTGAAAATGAAAAAAAAACGAATTTGATAGATATAAGGATTTAGTTGTTCTCCATGCTTCGTCTTTTACTTTTTGAAGTGACATCATCATGACCGTCGACTAGTCGCACAAGATGCGAAACCCAAGAGGATAACAAACAGTAATATGTGATATGTACTACTACTAGTACAATAAGACCGACGCTTCAATTTAGATCAAAGTGGAACCCCCAATCAAAATCATTTGGAAAAAAACTCATCACATTTGTTAGTCTACCCGTCGAAAAAGATAAACTCTCCCCCTAAACTAAAAGACTGAATACTTGACCTCATGAATCTGGTTTGGTACTTTAGGAGTTTTTTCTTTACATGCTTTTACATGTTTTAGTTCAAGCTTTTAGATTTTGATTCTTGCTCGTATTTCACAGTTTTAGTTGAAGCTTTTCAATGCAGGCATTCTTACTGAAGCTCAAAACCAGCCCACATGCACTGTATCCGAAACCGAACCAAAAAGATAAACTTCCCCCCTAAACTAAAAGACTGAGGAAAGCACAGACATGTCCTACCCATGTTCAGCATATAACCACCGTCCTCCTCTAGTAGAAGTACACCTGTTGAAGTTGATAATGCAGCCCTGTTCTTGTCCCTCATCCTACTCGCAACAGCACGACTGAATCTTCTACCTGCGGCCTCTTTTTCTCATGCTCGTCTATCGTGAAGTCACGACAGAGCCTGCTGTTCTTCACGACCTTATTAATGTACAATCATGCTCCTCAGATGGATTCAGTGCTCTCACTTGGTTCAAGTAGACGAGAATGGAATCAAATCTTCGATCAGCCACGGTCACACAAGCGTCCTCCAATCATAGGACCGGACGCTGCTACCCTCACCTGACTGTTCTCAGAATTGATGAAGAGGTCAACGATGAACTCCTGATGATCAAATACTCTTTTTCTCATGCGATCATCTTCATGTGCAAGAGCCACCAACATTTAGAGCTAGAAGAAATTCTTGTGTGCATCTACCTCCTCGCTTTCCACGACAACGACCACTCATCTTGCACTTTCCCATTCTCTTTTCGAAGATACCACTTGTTCCTTCGAGACGAACTTGTGCTTGTGAACGCCTTCTACCCTTTTCGTTTCTGTTCCATTCACGTGCTTTCAAACTTCAACAAAGTCAGCAGGATCCGCATCATAATTTTTTTGCTGTATTTTCAATCATTCACATCATACGCGTCTTCACGTTCATCTTCATCGTTCATCTGTAGTAGTTCATGCGCTGAGCATCTTCATCCTTGCTTCATCGTTCGATCATATTTGAACAACATCATTTTCATGGATCAATGATTTCCTCGTCATCCTTGTGATTGCTTGCGCTTGATCTAGTTCAAAGGATCACGAGTATCAACTTCCGACGAAATCACGAACTATTCACGACTGCCGGCTGCATCACCATACGCTGGGGACAAAATGAGTGGCACTTTGCGAGAGATGGCGCCAAACTTGGCGGAATTGATGATGATGCTTCCATCATGCACCAACGAGGATATCGATGAGATGCTGAGGTTTTTGAAGATTATACAGCGTGGGAGACCAGGTACTCAAATTCGATTTCTTTTGTTCACCCACACCGACACGACCCAGACCCTTGACCTGCCTTATAAAATAAGTGGGTCAACATTCGATATGTGCCTGTGTCGACATTCGATTCGATATCTTCTTGCTCAAGAAGTAATCGATTCCCTTTCTTCAAATCCAAATCCTATAATTCAACTTAACACCACCTCAACAGCTGGATCTGGCGGCCCCCCAATGCAGCCAGGAGGAACGGCATATAGTAGGCCTCAACCTTATGGTTACGGTCCTGTAGGGCTGAATAGCGGAGCAGGAGGAACGAGTGGAGGGCCAGTGGGAGGAGCTAATTACCCTAGCATGGGAGGTGGCCCGGTGACGTCAAGGCATGCGCCAGATTATCCAAAAAAACGAGTGAAGAACCCACATCCAGAATTCAAATATCATGGGCGGCCGATCGAAGTTAGTGACATAGAAACGGTTACAGGCAGATTGGAGGCAGCGAGTATTACTATTCTTGATGTTCATGTTTGCGCTTTATTCTACCCAAATGTTCATGTTTACTTGTCGGTTAAAAGAAAAATTGACAACCAACAAATTCCCTCCCCTAACTTTCAGCGTGTGCGCTTAAGATTAGTTCTTCTATTAGCAAGGATAGTAAAATTGAAAAACCTACAATCTATCTCATACACCATTATTCTACCCAAATAATAATAAAAAAATCTTCATCAACTTTATTGGTGTTGTTTTCCAAATAGAGCATCTAAGATTAAGAACAGCAAATGAATCTCTTCTCAATCATCTTCATCTTGTTCAAACTTGGTTCTTCCAACACTGCAATTTCAACACAGCTTCACTCGACGAATGCAAGCAGGCTTTAGCCGACTGTCATAATGACAAGTCCCTCTATGCTGCGACGTATAGTCTCTTTTCCAAGTATTGCCGAAATTGTTATCTTTCTGGCGTAGGCTTCGCGAACGTCCCTCAGCACAGCGTGTCAGAGTGTAAAATGCTAGGAACGCCGTGCATGATCGAATGCCGAAACTGCTTAGATGGCATTTGTCATTGGATTGATGACTGCCCGATGAGAAAATTAAGGGTAGGTTAAAGGTGCTTTTCTTACCGCTTTTTATGCCTCTCCTAAGGGAGAAAGGCATAACAAGCGGGGTAAGCGAGCACCAAAAGTCTACCTCTAAGAGCAGAAGCGGCTGCTCTCCGATCTGGTGGCGGTGTGCCTGGGGGAGGAGGAGCTCCAGGAATCCACTCAGCAAACAGATTCAATGAAGCTCTTGCTGCGTTCGCGAGATCGTAGGCGTGGTCGTGCTCGTCGTCCTGAGCTGATCTCCCAACATGGCATGCCTCAGACGATCTTGCTCGTCATACTGAGTCGTGCTTGATGAGATGACTTTCATAAGAGCCTCCAATCAAATAGTTTACTTTGAAGTCTCCCCCGCTGTGATTTGAAACTTCCCCAACAAGAACAATTATATTCTCGATGATGTCCTTCCTCACTGTTCTCTCAAGTTAGTAGAACAGCAATCACAGACATACTCGATTGCTGAATGATTACGAGTGATTGAAAAAAATGGTACTATAACACTCAACCTTTTCATTCTATGACTAGGTCAAGAATCAAAGGAGCATTCAAAGATGTGTTCGAAAAGAAAACGCAAGACCTTTGCGAAAAACGAGATCGAGAGATGTTTTTTCATGGGCTTGATTAAGATTATAGGACGCGTCAAAGTTAAATACGATCAACACGAGATAGTGAATGTGAAGAGGTGTTACGCATTGTCTTTCAACCACGAGAAAACCGATGATGAAGCGTGCTGTTTTTACCCATTCATTGTTTTTGTCAACCAACGTTCGTCCTGCAGGAGGAAGCCGTGAAAACAAAAAGATCAAAATTTTCCCGGCAGCTTTCGTTTTAGTCCCTCTCTAACTTTTTTTACAGTACGAACCCGAACGTAGCAGAAGAACAGAAGTGATGAAGTTGAAGTTGTCGTAGTTCAAGTATTTTTGAATGTGAGTTCATTCTTGTGATCCTGAAGAATAGAAGTCTTCTCGTTCAGCTTCACAAATTCTCATGGTTTTTATTGACAGATCTTGTTGAATTTCTAGATCATCGAATTCAACAATCTTCTTGGTCTTCTTTGTGAAAGAGCAACTTGAACGTTTTACGAACTTTTCTATGGTTCGTTGACTTGCAGCTTCGGATCAACATATGTACAAGTTAGTAAGTCTAAGTATTTGATGAAAAGCTACATTGGTTTTTCAAAAGTACAGCGAAACCAGGCGATCAAGCTTGTTATTCTTCACCTTTCAAGAAAAAACGAATAAATCGAAAAATAGCGATTTATCAGAAGCAGATAGAGTTTGGAACTTCTTCGTGACCTATCAAGTTGCCCTTGTTTGTACGTAGATCCAATTATAGCAAACTTCTCAAAAATGTTCGTGGCTAGCAGCGTAGCGAGAAGCGGAGCTGGGTCGCTTGGGCGACTGCAGCGAGGAGCAGCATTACAACCAGCTGCACGAAGCATAAGCACTTATTTCCAGCCAGCCTCTGACATGGGCGTTAGCAGCAGCAGTGGGCTTATGTCTTCTTCTAGTAGTTCGTCTTGTTCCTTGTTCAACAAGAGCAGTTTGTTTCAGCAAAAGCGACAGTACCACGAGGCCGTTATTGACCATTTCCAGAAGCCACGCAATGTTGGCAAACTCGACGGCACGAAGAAGAACGTCGGCTCCGCTCTGGTTGGCAAGGCCAGTTGCGGCGATGTGATCAAGCTGCAGATCGAAGTTGATGAAACTAGTGGCAAGATCAAAGATGCGAAGTTCAAGACTTTTGGGTGTGGTAGTGCTATCGCATCTTCTTCTCTAGCGACGGAAATGATCATCAACAAGAGCTTGGACGAAGCTAAGAAGCTATCGAACACGGATATCAGTTCAGAGCTCAACCTGCCACCAGTCAAGATTCACTGCTCAGTGTTGGCAGAAGAGGCAATTCAGGCAGCCATCGAGGACTACAAGAAAAAGCAGGGGGGAGGAGATGGGGCAAGTGCGAAGAGTGCTGCGGCTTGAACTTGAACTTGATGATGTTGATGGAGTACTAGCATTCGGACAGTACCTACTAGTACAGGATGACGTTGCAGTACTAGGCAATGGGGATCACGCTCGTCTACTAGTACAGGATGACGTTGCAGTACTAGGCAATGGGGATCACGCTCGTCAACCTCACAACCTTCATTTCCCAGTGGTACCATGAACAAGGGAGCAGCAAGCCGTTTCACGACGACAGTTCGGCATCTCGATGCGTCAAAGCACCGATTGAAACATTGGTGCTGAGAATTTTCCGATAAAGAGTGACCAATAGCACTCTAGTGTACATGAGGCATCCCCTCTTCTTCATCGACTTCCAGCCTTGTCGTGTGCCGCGATAGACGAACATAACGTTACAGTGCCAGGATATTTCCATCTTCTTTTCGTCCTGTTTAGACTGCGGATAGAAAAGGTAAAGATACAACCAGGGGTAGAAGCACCTCTGAACCACGTACTCGCCCGTGGCTACCGTAATCATTTTTAGTACCAGCAAAAGAACACTCGTATTACTGGCACAAACTGTACCAACCGTATCTATGATTTTCGGATTTTCGTGTGAAGCAAAATCAAAATCGATAAGAAAACCCGAATTTTACCCAACAACTAAATATTCTGATGTCCACCGCGCCCTCCCAGCATGTCACTTGTTCCACCATCAATGACTGTATCCTCCAGCACTGGTACGTTTTACTTGTTCTGGAAATAGACATATTAGCGGAGGTGCTGGACAAGGACAGATGTGCGGTGATTGACAGTGCAGACATGATCACAAGAAACTGTAGCGTTGTTGGATGTGTTGTGACGTACCAAGCAAAATAGGGAGCCGGAGACTCCAACTCGAGGTAATGAAAAAGCATGTTGTTCTTTTACCTCCTCATTTGTCCGTGTAGTGGAAAATGAAGGTGACCGATATCATCTTGCTGGCAAGAAGATTCTGTCCTTCAGATCGGTAAACAGCGTCTCCTTCGGACGCACAGTAACCGTAAGGCACTTGTTGATCTTCAAGGTTGTGAGAACGCTATGCCCATGGCCAGTGATTCCAGCAATCCGTCTTGTCAAAAATGGTCGCACCAGTTGTAGGGTGCTGCTGTTGAGTTGAAATAGCTTGTTGTAGGTTGTCGTCCTCGTGCAGCGTTTAACGTCTTGCTCTGTACCGAACGTGGTCTCGAAGCAATATTTATTTTGGCGCTATGTCTATTCTGTTTTCGCTCGCCCTGTTTTCGAAAAAACGACCATCAAACGTATGATCAGGTGGAAGTGGAATATGAAAAAGTTACTACTCAACATCTCAACATAGCTTTGGAGGAATATTTGAATTTGGATACGTTAGTATAGTTTTGGCTTTTCATCTCTGTCTAATCATGTATTAGTATTTCGTGTACTTATTTAGTTTCTTTGTAGTTTATTTGACATAAGTTGGTCTTGTTTCTTTCATTTTGATTCCACTTCCGCACAAGAATTATCATAACATAAAAATATATATGTTGTAAGTTTTTCTTTTTCATCGAAGAACATGCATCAACAAAGTGAGACGAAAATTACAAAAAAGTAAAAAACAACCGATGTTGAGGATGCAGCCATCAGCACCTACAAGGACTCTCGCCATGATGCCGCGTCCTCGTGATATAATCACGAAGCAGCCCTGGCTCGTAAGCTGGCTTCTCGTAAGTTTGTGTGCGTTCAGCGCAAGTGCAACGTCTCACATAGAAGATGGGCAGCAAGATGATGAGGACATGAACATCCTTCAACCTCCTGGAGGTGATCAAGAACATGCTTCTGTCCTCGACGACGAAACTCAGAGCATTGCTGGAGCAGTTCGCGCACGGACCGGCGCAGATTCGATGATTATTGATCAGCAAGGAGATGAAGATTTGGGTTTGGGAGGCATCAGTCATGCAATGGCAGAAAGCGTAGCTCCTGCGGGGAGGCTTATAAAAGGTCCAGACGTGGTAAAGGACCTGCGTGTTCTTCAGCACATCATGGACGGAGGTGATCAACAGATGGTCGAAGGCACGACGATTGTGAACGAAACCTCCCAAATGAACGTGGAACAACAAGAACAGTCGTTCGCTCTACCGATTCCCGGACGTGCATTCCATATCGCTTTGCGCCAGTTGTCGAAAGGACACACCAAGACGCGTGAAGATCGCAACAGGTGTCTCGAACAGATTCGACACACAGGAGGTAAAGCCTATCTAGATGAAGATTTCTGTCCGAAATGGGTCCGCAAGTATCCTCTGATCATGCTGGAGTTTGCCAGAGCGGGGAATCGGCATATGTCGTACAGGTCTGTGCCTGGGGACATTCAGAAAAAATGGGAAAATACTTTGTTCGCTATTCGTGATTGGAGTCGAGATGCGTTGGATTTTGGTCGGCCGCCAGGTGGAGGTGCACAACATACTGGAGGTCTCAACGAACAGGGCAATGCTGCAACTGCGAGTACAACAGGATCAGCGTCCTCTGTTCTTGGTGGAGCTGCCACTTCTACCACTCCTGCCACTTCTACCACATCGTCAAGTGCATCTTCTTCAAGCAGACAGCAAGTCCTCTACGGCCTCGATCCCCTCCTCTTCTTGCAAGCGGTTCGAGCCAACAGTGACGTGCTACTCGGCGCCGGACGTGGTGATGACTCCAAGAAATTGCCGTGGCTTCCTACCGCCGAGGATAGTTTGCTTCTTTCTCAGGGATCTCCGCGTATGGTGAACGGAATCGGTGGATCGTCTGATCATAGGCGTGGTGGTGTTGGAACATCACATGTAGGTGGAGCACAGTGGGATATTACTACAACAACGGCCACAGGAGCCGGCTCGTCAGGAGGAGGATCAGCCACGGTGGCAAGTTCAGGAGGAGCCGCATCCGCAAGCTCCAGTCACCAGCAACGTCTTCAATTACAAGGTGCAAGGACAGTGATTCAGATGCTACAGTCTCGCGGCAATACAAGCAACGCCACTGCTGGTGCTTCATCTGGATTGCCATTACCGTTTGCGCCTATGCCCAATGCGACAACAGCAAATAGTGGCGCTCCTGCTGCGCCAGCAACATCTCAACAAATGCCATTTGAGGATAGGGATTTGCTGATGCAGCCGGCGGAACAAGCAGAAGAAGCCCATGACGATGCTCATCCGAGTGAGGCATATCCGAGCACCTCCGCGCTTTCTGTAGTGGAACAGCCTACTGCAGTGGAACAGCCTACTCTCCGAAGTGGCACCGGCTCTGGAACGGCAGTGGAACAGCCTACTGCAGGGGCGGAAGCAGACGTCGTCCCTTCTTCAATTCACCCAGTTTTAGGACAAGCACCTGCCAACATAGTAACAACCGTGACTGCTGATACAACAGTGGGGCCTCGGTTCAATCTATTCGACTTCGGGACCGATCCCACCGACCGCAATGTACGTGCAGCGATCGCAGAGGGAAAAACACCAGGTGGATTGGTGGTTTTATCGCCTACGCTGGGAGCTTCTGATGTCTCCACACCGACTCCGAAGCTAGCTGGGGCCGCAGCTCCTGCATTGTCGGCGCGGTCTCCGAACCGCGACGCAAGGCGAAGAGACCTTGCCCAAGGTCAACCAGGCCATTCCTTGAGACCACGACCAAAAATTGCGCAATTGTTTCCACCGCCCGCGTCATCCTCGTCTACTACTGAAGAAGTTGAAGGAGCTTCCGCAGGTCCCGTCGGAACGTCGGGAAGTGCCGCTGATCTAGGACTTCAGATCACAACTGCGATAGCCCCTAATGTTGTTCCTCCTGCCTCGACGACAACAGCTAGTACTGGAACTACAACTCTACCAGCGGACGTTCTGCCACAGCCATCAACTGGGGACAATACAGTAGCTGATCAAGAAGGATCAACCCTAGCAGCACCGCCCCTTACTGCTCTCGCACACGTGCCCAGCACATCAACAACCTCGGTAAGTACGCACACAACCCTTGTTCCTGCCTCCAGAGCCCCTCGTATTGACGAGATTGATCATGAAATTGAGGACGAGACCCCACAAGATGAAATGCGCGGCCGAACGACGCCTCCGCGTATGGATTCCTTTGCCTCTAGCGGACCTAGGATTGGGTATGAGATATCCAATCGTGAACAGACAGAGACCTTGAAAGACGATGCAGACTACACTGCTGGCGTACATCTGCGAAATGCAACAAACCACCTTGGGCAATGGATTCGAGAACACTTTGCAGGATGTATGGTGAATGTGGGGACCACGACAAGTACTTGTTCCCCAGGAAGCAGTGGTGATGAAATTGTAGCTGATGAACGCTCTGGAGCTATGAGATCATTGGAGGACGAGGAGGTGGATGCAATGAGGGGAAGCGGAGGAGGATTAGGGTCTGAAAGGGCTGTTGCAGAAGATGGCGCAACCACGATGATTGACGCAAAAAGACATTTCCACATGATGCAGATCACGTCTTCCCTGAAGTTGATCGCATGTCCTACTCTCAGCGAGCAACCGATCACTCAGTTGCCTCCTCACATGAGTCTGCCAGTGCCGCTGCCAATGTCCATGTTTGAGGATAGGGAAGATTCAGTTTTTGGTCAAAATACTCAACATCATTCTACAACCACTGATTCCTCCGTCTTTCGTCCAGCTGACAGAGTTCCTATCAATCGGGACCACACAACTGGTACAACTGGTGAAGTGCAAACGGATCATCCCATGGGATCTTGTGGTAACGATCAGTCAGACGACGGCTCGTGTGGCTCTTCGGGTAGCAATGTGTCTGCTGCTGGACGAGCTCTCGGGGCTCTGAGTTTGAATGCTGGTGCCGAGGGTGAGCAGCTGCAAGCGGCGCGTCCTGCAGCTGGTGCTGCAAGTAGTCCAACAGTTGGCCCGCAAATGACGCAAGAAGTCGAGCCCCACCTTAATGATGTTGCTCAAAGAGGAGGCATCATGACCACGAGGGGTACAACAACTGCGTGGCGGGATTCCTCGTCTAAGGAAGCTCATATCATGACACCTCAACTCTACGAGGCTGCAAGAGAGAAGGAGCTGGAGAGAACCAGTCGAGCCGCGTTCAACGTCAAAGAAGTGACTGTTTTGAGACGCGCAAGAGAGGCATTGAATAATGCGGACAATGAAGATCCTTTGCTCTACATCAGAAATGGAGGCGCAAGTGGAGCTACAGCTTCTAGGACTGCTGCAGGAATAGTCGGTGTTTCGACTTCGTCCCGTGGCGCAGCAGGCGGAGCTTCGTCAAGTAGAAGCACCACTACGCGGCATCAAACATCGACAACAGAGAGGTCAGAGGTGATAAGACCCATGAGGGGAAGAAGTCGACGTGAGGTGTCAACTGCAAATGCAAGTGCTACAACTGCAGATAATGTTCAAAACGACCAGGATACTCGACCGCCAGCTTCAGGTACTACTGGAGATGAAGATCATCCACCACGTATTAAGGGTAGGCTTAATAAGGTGTTCTTCTGGCCGTTCGTTTTGCCTGTGCCTCCCCTAAGGGGGAAATGCATAACGAACGAGGTAAACGAACACCAAAAGCCTAGTACCTCTAAACGTAGATTGTTCAGCTGGAGTGGAAGTCGGTTTTCCTTGTCTCCGTTGTCATTTTCACCCGAGACGGAAGACGAGGAGAGTCAGTGGTGGGAGGATCACGTTCATACTCAGCTTCCTATTAAGAAATCTAAGGACGCCTTTCTGCCACCTCCAATGTTGCATCCGGATATGCTAGCTGCTGCGTTGCGGCAGGACATGGGTCGAGTTTTAGCTGCTTTGCCTGCGGCAGCACGAGGCATCAAGATAGACTTTCAGCAGGAACTGCAAGCGATCATCCGACTTCAGGAGTGGCGCGAAATCGTCGAAAACCGAGACCTGCCTTTGATTCGCGGGATGCTCCGTTATCTCAGACAGGCGATTCGGTATGTGGGAGCGAAACTACTGGCACAGCGTGTGGAACCGTGGCTGCGCCAGAAAGAAGTGCTGCAACGAATTGTAGAAGAATCTTCGAAAAAGCCGTGGTCTGGGTCTGCAGTCCCTGGATCCCTTAATTCAGATGATGTTGTGATGCAGAGATCAGTGTCAGAGCAAGACCAAGCAGTTCATCAGGGCAAGGATGCTGGCTTGAAAAAAGAGCAACCTTCCGGTGAACCGAAAAGGCCTGCTTCACCTAGGCCACGTGTAACACCAGAGGACGCACAGCAAATGGTCCGAAATGAAGCAGCAAAAATTGGGGCTGACCTCGCACAAAATACTCTCTATCCATTTGCACCACGAGTGGCGGGAAGCTTAGAGGGTTTGGTGATAGTCCCTGAAAAAAACCAAGATTTTATGCCTTTCTCGTGGTCGGCGACGGGCGGCTCCACAACAACCAAGCAAGACACAAGATTTCCTCCATACTTTGGCACTTTAATGTATTTGAACAAGCCTTCTTCAGCTGGAAAAGGCAACGACAAGATCAAGAAGAGCAAAGAACAGTCGTCCTCTGGAGTTGGTAAGTCAACAAATGTAGTTGATTCTCGGATTCCTCGAATGAGAGAAACTGGAAAAACTATGTGGATGACAACTGAAGACGGCTCTGATGCTGTTGAAGTGCAAACTACTACGACATCCGGTAACAAGCTGAATGCGGTGCGAGACCAAGGACACCTGAGTTGGGTCGACGACCTTAGACACGAACACTTTTGGATGAATTATACAAAATTTCCCTACCGAAGCAGCGATGTAGTAGGTTTATCCTCATCCTCGACTGGTCCGGGACAACGTCGCACGACAGGAACCAGTGGTGGCGAAGCTTCCTCGTCGTCACCTGACACAGGTATGCCAGCTGGCTTTGGGCTTAGTATGAATCAGGGGAAAGTCGTTGCTAGCTCCAAAAGCAAGAACGAGATCCCGATGTTTTGTACGAAGGGGGCCAAGCCGAAAAGTAAGAAGATCAAACCTGCACTACAAATTCCCTCTGTACTAGCCTCCGGGGCTGAATCCAGTGCGTTGCCCTCGACCGGTGGTGGTAGTAGTAGAGGAGAGGGAGGAGGCTCAAGTTCAAGTACAGCACAGCTTGCCAGCGGGGTTATGCCAGCTGCTTATACCTCTGGTTTTGTTATGGCTCAAAATGCTAGAGGTAGTTTGAGATTCTCTGGCCGTTTTTGTTTGTGATAACGTATATTTTTTCCCTACAGTAAGTATTTATTACTAAGACCCTGCTATTATACAAACACCGAACTCTAATCTCCACGGTTTTCTCTCTCCGACGCCACAAGCAGGCGCGCACCAGTTTTTCATCTCGGCAAAGGCTGCTGCTAGAGAAATAACGTCGTTGAATGATCACAGGAAAAGGCTACTTGCCAGCTGGACAAAGCGGTTTTTGCCGGACATAAACTCGACAGGGCCAACATCTTCGCAGGAAGTTAAGAGAAGGATTGTCGATCGTTGGTCATTGTGCCATTGCGCGAACAGATAGGAAAAATTTTTAGGACTCTAATATTTCTGTACACTTAATAACGGCAAGACTTGATGATAATGGTCAACAACATCTTCATCTAAGGTAAATTCGATGCGTCAGACTTTGGAGGAGCAAGTGGAGCATTTACAGACACTGATGTGGCTTCTGAATAAAGCGAAAACAGGTACTAGGAAGAAGCAACAGTCTCTTGCCGCGATCGGTGGATCCAACTGCAGAATGAATCCTGGCCTCACGGCGTCTGCCAGACAGAAAATGAAAGATGCAAAGAAAATGCAAGTCATTTCTGAAGGAGGTAGTAGTTGTACTAGCGCTCCTACAACTAGTGCCGATGCTTCCGCCAGCACACCAGCTGCAACAGCACTACCACCTATCTCCGAAAGTACAACTACAAGTGGAGCAGTTTCAGTTTCTAGCGACATCAGCACACATCAAGTGGTCCCGCGAGCTGGTATTCCTGCAATGGGGCCAGTGACATTACCAGGAGCGTTGGGTTCATCTTGTAGTGGAGGTACTGAGCTGAAGCTGAAACACGATACTACAGTGCGCTTGGCGTATCCAGCTTTATTGGACCAGCAAAATGCTAAATTTTTGGATCACTCTGGAACTGGATCACGACGAAAATCGTCCAAGGAGAGGGAAGCCTTTACTACTGGAGGGGATGATGTCGTGATGACTCCTGTTCCTGGTACTACCAAAGCGGCTTCAGGAGTGTGCGATGACGAGGGTGCTTTTGGTTATACTGTCGATGAAGATGGAACAGAAGGTACGACTATTAAACCTCCAGAAGCCGAAGAAGGGAACTGCACTGATCCTCCAGCAGTGGCGCCTGCAGTTCTACCTGTTGCAGAAGGTGACACTGCTGCTGCGCGAGAACTCAAAAAGGAAGCAGACAAGGAGAAGGCCAGACTGGAATCCACCGCAAAGGAGAAAACGCCGACAACTACTGCCGCATCCTCAACTTCGAAACATGTAGCTGCAACCTCACGTCAACTTTCACACCTTCTTTCTCACTACCAATTGTGGTACAAATTCCTCGAAAAGCGCCAGAGAGAGCTGGAGCACGTTCTCCACGCTGAAGACGATGAAGATTTAGAGGCTGTTGAGGTTGTTGATTTAAGGCTGCCCCTAATCCATCTCGATAGACATCCCTCAAGCATATGCAAATGCACCCCAATAGATACAAGGGAGATAGAGATACTGACGCACATGGGGGGGGATTTCCACAGGGATGCTGAATAGGGGAGAGGTCTAATTGATGCTCTTGGTAGTAGTAGTAAGCAACTAAAAGGGCCAAAGGAACACGTCATCGCATCAGTTGAAAAAGCTGACTCTACTCGTCGATTTGTGGAGTTGTTGCACACTGTGCAAGGTGATAGCCACATGACTGACCTTGTTTCGCCTGACGTCCAGGATCAAACGCCTATCACTACAAAGTTGTTCTATCAATATGGGCTTGAACGCGTCATCCCCATCAAAGATCCAGCTACAGTTGAGAATATCATCGAGGAAGCCGCGGGCACCTCAACGAGAACTATCGGCAGCCGCTTTCTCTTAAGGCTTGAAGGTACAACAACTACTCATTTCCAACGGTCGGCATTTTTCTTCTGTTTCCCTCTTTCATCATTTCACATCAGAAGAAATGTTAATGTTCTTGAAGGGAAGAAAAGAAGTTATGGCAGTCTGCACTGAACTTTGTGCGCTTGCAAAATACGCAAGTAGGTTTTGATTTATCGGAACTCGCTCACGATACAAAAAAAAAAGCGAGATTAATTGTATTGCATTGTATTACTTTGAGCTCTAATTCGCAGTCGAGCGAGTCAGGACGACGCCCACGCCGCACGTTTTGCACACTTAGAGGCAGATGCGCGTGTGAAATTGGGAGAATTCTTTGTGCCAAAGGATGCATGGGACTTTGTATCGAATAGACGATTTGAGTTGCTGGCTGCGAGGATGCTTCTCTCGGGAAGGAAATATGTGCAGCCACCGAAGCCACGCCATTCGAAAAGTATTGATGATAGCGTTTTGTGAAGTTGTATTTAGCCTTGTTGTTTGAAGTATTTTTATGTAGCCTTGTTTGACTGAGAATTTCAAGATGATTCTGCTCGTCCTCTTAGGATTACCACTTCTTATGAACAACATAGTTGTCGTGATAGAACAAGAACCTCCGGCGGAAAAAACTTGGAGGTCCTCCACATCTTCATGGAATGTCCCTAGAAAACGAACATCTTCAGGTCCCGACACTTCAGCTCCCCAGTCCGGTCAAGGATTGTCGCAAACAGCGCAGATGCGACTTCATGAGCTGCGCTCAAAGGACGGCTTGGGCCCCACACCGGGTCGAAGCAGTGGAGACAACTATATTCCACTAGCAGCGCCGTTTACCTTTGCTGAGCCACGTCCTCATATTATTCCGCAAGTCGGCTTGTTTAGAACTATGCTCAATAGCACGAAGCATCCACCCATTGAAGTGATACCTGAAGTTGAAATCATTGACCCACCTGCACCGAAACCAAGTCCAAGAACAGGAGATGGTGATGGAACAGCAGGAGGAAAAGCAGTTGTCGAAGAGGTAACGTTTCCTACAGTTGTTGAAGAAATTCGTGGAACACAACCTCCAACTCCACTTCTACTTCTAGGAAATACATCCCTGCCTGTACCTTGCCCTGAGGTGCTGGGATTCGAGGATGAACTAGGAGGCTTGTCAACGGCCAATACACCCGGTGGAAGTTGTTCGCCAGTGCTGTCTGAAGTCAACCCAGATGACGCAGATGATGAGGCATCTGAAGCAAGTAGTATCAGTTCCCTAGGGGCACTAGGGAGTGCTAGTAGGGGTACTAGAGGGAGTGCTGACAGTGTACCAGTCAGAGTTTTCAACGCGAATCGAAAGTCCAAAGTTCTTTCCTACCTTACACGAGCAGCCAACGAATTGAGCAAGCAGGTGGAGAACGCAGAATCCTCTAAGACTGAAGACGTCGACATGCATGATGATGAAGGACTAGCTTCCAGTGAAGGCGAGGACGATCATGCAGCCCTCGAAAAGTCTGAGGGAGACAAAGAAGATGCTACAGTAAATGAAGAGATTCTGGTGCAAATGCTAGAAGCGGATGACGCAAAGAAGGCTGCACCAGCTGTGCAAGAAGCAGCATCTGCTGAAGGAACAGGTGACGACGCTGGGAAGGCTAATGAAACAGACAGCAAGATGAAGCTGAAGCAGAAGGAGGACACGACACCTGCTGATGCTGTATTATCGGAACTACCACTACAAGAGCAGCCGACACAAGGAGCTCAAGATGACCGTCCGGAACAGAAGCTTGTTCTTCCTGTCACAACAACAACGATCGAGGACGATGAAGATCTATACGGGTCACCTAAGAACGAAGATGAGGATCTGTACAGTGCCATGGTCAAAAATTTCAATGAGCTTGTTCCTGATGATGATCATCTCGAACAGCAGGAGCTCAAATTCACTGTCTATAGGCGACGATTTGGCTACGAAAAACTTCCGCGGGTACGCGGTATCTTGCAACGTCTGAAATTTAGACTGCGTAATCTGGACATTCGCAGACGGGCAATTGAAATCGCGATGACGAGGATTTTGGAGAATGAAAGTGTGATGTCAGGAGCATGGCTGGATCATCTGACGGCTTCATCTTCATCGTTACCTACACCGAAGGAGATGATGAAGGTTTTGCTGCCACCAGCTGCCGAGATGCTGTTTCAGCGAACAACGCCACTTATTGTGCCAGCAGATGAAAGAGTAGAAGTCGACTGGGATTTTGTTTTTTCTCAGTTTTATTCTATTGATAGTACACGAGATCGTCGGGGACGGGGAGGTAGTCTAGATGGAGGAGAACCTGCACCTGCAGCTAGTGCTGATGTAGTTTCTTCCACCGCTGGCAAAATGAAGAAGAAGATGGACGACAAGATACAGCAACTAATCACAAGTCCTTCTCCATCTACTAATTACTCCCCTACAACTCATGGCCATGCACTTGCACCTGATCTCGATCCAGTAGGTGTAGGGTCGACGAATCCAAACGATCATTCCGCTTCTTATTTTGCAGCGAAAGACCCTGTTTCTTGGGCTGCGATGCAAGTGGACAGGATTGCAGGTTGGCTGATGAAAGTGCTGAGAATGAATAAGATCTGGGATCGGCAAAAATCGAAAATGGACATCGTTCGCGTCGCCGATGCAGTCGTTCTCAAATCAGCTAGGTCTGTCTACGAAGAAGCTGAGAAATTAGCTGCCGCAGAACGGCGAAGGACAGAAACTACTACGTTGTCGCCAGCAGATGTCGAACTCAGAGCGTGCTCACATGAGTCCTCTAGTGGAGGAGGCTCTTCTAGTACTTTAACTTTATTTGGACGAGCTCCTCCTGGTGCGAACAACTTGACTACATCAGCCAAATCTATCGCTAAACAGGCGAAAAAGTTCTTCAAAAAGAGATTTGATGAGGTTTCAGCATTCTCCAATGCCTGTGCGAAAATCGCTCCAGGGATGTTCTCTGCTAGTGCTGATGATCACACTGGACCTAGTCCAACGACTGGAGGCTTTACACGGCGTGGTGAAGATCAAGCATCAGACGCAAGCGCAATGCAAGCCTTGTTTCAACACAGCAAACGTCCTTCTAGTAGTGCTCGCGGGAGCAGATCCAACTCAAAGAAGTCATCACACGGACAAGTGATGAAGGACCACTCAGTGTTCTTTGACCCGCTTTCTCATGTATTAAACGTCACAGAGGAAGCGTGTGGGCGAGCAGGCGCTAGTAGTGGAAGCGCTACCGGCTCGTCAAACATTGTTCCAGCAGACAACATAACAAGCGTCAGCAGCTCTGGTAGTACAAATACGGCTAGCAGTAGTAGCGCTGGAGGAAGTGGCTCATCTCGTCGTACTCCTTCTCCTTCTCCCTTCCTCGTACCGACGATGGAGGTCGTAGGGCCCCCGGCGTCATCATCTTCGAGAGGCGCCAATGCGAAGAGGAATCAGCAGTTGGTTTTAGATTTTCTCATGAATTCTTGTCGTGAACCGCCACCCGGAAGAGGTGTAAGAAGCTACGTTGCTTATTTCGCTCTACCAACGCAAAGAGAAACAAATCAGAGGGGTTCTTGGCGGGAGATTGACCTTACCAAAGCGATTCAAAACCACATTGACGATTTTGCAGAACAAATCCGATCTACCACGACTAAAAGGTCCTCTTTTAGTGACTCCGCGTCGCTGTACGTCCAACCGCTGATCGAGCCTTCCTTTTCTTCTCGAGAAGAGTTTTTCCACCTGTTTGGGGGACTTCCTGAAAAGAGAAGGAGACAATCCAGTTATCCCCAATCAGTTCGGCTCTCAAGAGACGACAATCAACAGGTTGTCCCGGTAGTGGAAGATATCTCGGTGCGCGAATCTGCCGATTGGCATAGTATGTGGGCTCCTCCACGACAGGAGAATAAAACGCAACATGATGATGAACAAGAAGATACAACAAGAACTTCTAGTAAAGCTCCTCCTGCATCTTCTAAGAAGATGAAGAACATGAGTTCTTTCCTTGGTGAAGATCCTGAGGCTTTCTATGAAAAGCGACCTCCTTTGCCTACTTCAGCAGTAGAAGATCCACAAGATGATATTTTTCGGTCTTTCCAACTCGAACAACTACAACATCTTCACCTTCCGCAATATAATGAAGAACAATTTCGTAAATATATGCATGAGGAACAAGTGCTGGCTGATGTGGATGCATGGACGCCACCTCCACATAAGCATGGACTGCATTATCGCATCGGTCGACTTCTGTCCCTTCTGTCCGCGCAAGATATTTTCCCGAACCTCGATGTAGCGGAACAAGCAGACCCCGTACGTCAGCAGCTCATGAGAGCGACCCGCGAGTACCTTATGCCTCGATAGTCATTTTACAGAATAATGTTGCTTGAGTTTTCTAGTTTTGTTGGAATTGTGGTTCAAATATAAAGGGCGGATCATGATCACCACGACCCTACTGGTACTAGAAATGTGTCCCCTTATTTTCCTTTTTGTAGTTTTCCTTCTAACATCCTCCGACCAGAGGAGTTGTTCGCAATAGTCCAGTGGAGCTCGGATTTCGTGGTGCTAATACCCAGACACTGCTTGAAACGAGGCGTCGCAGAACGGGACGGAACGGCTCAGCGCGAGTATCGTGCTGATTTCGAGCTTAGTCACAAAGAAATTGAGTTGCGTGCTGCTGCCATTTACCAGCATAGGCGTCCTTTTTACCAGAATAGGCGAAGAACGTTTTGATAAGTGGTTTGGTTGAAGATATATTCAGATTGATGTTGACACTTGTGATTGTGCTTCCTCTCATGTTTCTCTGCATGTAGAAGTACTTACTAGCAACAACTTGCAGCTTGACTGACTCGGGAAATCAAGTGTGAATAAAGACAAAAACACTATTTTTTTGTACTTTTTGTTACGGAGTTGCAGCAGATTCAGATATCAAAGATGAAAAGCGCGAAGAATAGCTAGTCGTGGTATGTGCAAGAACAAAAATATGAATACAACGACGAAAGAGGAAAGTAGAACAATAACTAATACTAGAAGCGAGTAGGCACGACGTGAGCGAGGACGAGGTTTGAGTTTCTATTTGATTTCTTCATAGAGAATATAGCTTCGTATTCGACGTTGCTCATGAAGACATTACTACAGAAAAACTTCGCTTTCCGTTTTCAGCAGCGGGCAAAGCGAAACGTAGGCGAAGTGGATGTAAAATCTTCATAACAACTTTTTGATTCTTTTAAGATTAAGATGAAAATCAATGCCCAAGTCCATGTCCAACATGATGAATTTCATCATATTTTGATGTTCCTTCATTGCCCTCTAATAACATGAAGACTTTCGCTTTGCAGATTCTATGTTTGTTCTCACGGTCATGAGGTGGAATTTTCTTGCATAAAGGTCAGACCTCATTTATTTGCTACATAGAAGTGGAAAAAGGATGCGAAGAATGAAGAAAACACGTATGCCCAACTGCATACTGTGGTGGATGTGGAAGACCTAGTACTATGCGAATAATAGTGGGGGCGAGATTAATATGCATTGAAAGAAGGCGCAACAGTGCGGCAGTCGCAGCTGCGGGGAGGTGGTGCCCTGTGGAGACAACCTGATTGATTGGCTGAGTGATTGCTTGCGTCTTTCAATGACTCCGTTCCGGGAGACGCGACGGGTGGAGGATATCGGGCTTCTCCGGCCGCGGAGAAATGCGGCGAAAGCCGGCGCAGCATGCTTCGCGGTCCTTGGCGTGGGCCAGCGTGGTAGACTGCGAACAAGGGGGGACAGTCTGGCCATGTGCCCGCGTGGCGTTGTCCAGTGATCGGCTTGGAGTGAGGTCCTCTGCCTCAACTGAGTCCTTTGGGTCCGTCCTTCATTAGCCCGACACAGCGTAAGCAAAGCGGGCAGGGTTCATCATAGACGGCCGCAGCTAGTTTGCGCCTGAGGTTCCTCGTAATAGACAACGCAAGGCGACTAGCCTCTGGCCTTCTGCTTTGGGTGATCTTTTGTGGGCTAGGTCAGCGGGGGCACGAGCGTGCTTGCACACTCCAGAGTTGGCCCTGGGTCTGTTTTAGTTCCTCCGTTATCCAGCGCCGCCGCTCGTTAGACGGCCGCATAAAGTTGTCTGATTGCAAGAAGGTAAGAGTCGTCATACTCCTATGATCAGAAACATGCTGTTGTATTAATGCGCGTAGATGAAAAGAACAAAGTTGAGTAGAGTCTGCGAGCGGATCATGTGCAGGAGAGAATGAAGATGTTAGGAGTCGAACATATTGCAACAAAATAGAAGGACTTGTGGAAGACATGTTGGGGAAGTGAAGTGGAGACATGTTGGGGAGAGGGGTATGGTTGACTACAGCCCTCCTACATGTCTGCCAGGATCTTTGTGGACTTTTCGGAGAGCAAGCATCTACGCGAGATAACGAACTTTGAAGAAAGATCATGGCTCTATATCTTTTCCTAAATCTTCTAAAAACATTATCAGGCGAAGAGCCGTTTTTTCAAGCACTGTCATTCGCTTCCCACAGCTTGCGCATCAATCACGTATGAAGATGAATACAAAAGCGGCCCGCTCCCACTAGGACATGAAAAGCCTACACCTAGCTGGGCCGTGGGTGGATGGTGCCTGCGTGGTCGTATCGGGACTGTGGCTCTCTTTTTGGACAGGAGGGATGATGACAGTGTTCAGAGTCGGGAATTGTGAACGGCGAAAGTGGGGACTCTCGCACTCACTCCCAGTTGGCGCCCGTCAAGGTGATCAGCAGCTACCAGGATGATCTCTATAATGATGCTCCACCTTTTACTAGGCATGACCTAGCTCTTTGTGCTGTGTAACTGATTAGTCGCGAGCTGGAAGTTATGAACTTGAAGATTCAAACAAAATCTACTAGATGATGAACGATCAACGTTTACTGTTGGCATGAGGGCACTATTTCCAGGAGTTGCGTTTATCATTGATAGGTGGCTTGAGTCCTTGTATGGGATACTAGCGATTCTGAAGATAGCGTTCCCATTACACGAAGAAAGTGATGATGCTGCCGCGCGAAAGTTGCTGGGCATACATGTGCGTTCTGTTGGTGCTCTTTTCCCCTTGTCGCGGTATTACTCGCCAGCAGGAGAAGGAGGCTGTGGTGGACTGAGACGGGGAGCCGAGCGAGGTCCAACCGACGGCCCTTATCGAAGAGAAGACACTGAAGAAGACCGCCATCTCAGGTATAGCAGACAGCTAAAATCTGACTTACCTTAGACTATGAAGTTGAAGATTCGTTGATGGCGCTACGAATCAATTAGCAAGACAGCCCTGCTGGGCTTGTTGAGTCGATGTTTGCGGTCCGTAATGTAGCTGCATAGGTCGCCCGATTACCGTGAGACCCACTCATTGTAGTATCTTTTATCCGCACCCATATCAATCTAGATGGCTTAGCCTCCGGCGGGAACCTTGGGCAAAAACGGGGGCCTTCCGGGGCAGGATCGTCTCGTTCCACTGGGAAAACGCCGCGCCACCATTTGCCGCCGAAGGCACAACATTAAGCTTCCGAAAAAGAACAACTTCAACTCCTTATCAATCTTCACAGTTTTTTTCGCGGATGATCGTACTTAGTTGTTAGTTTAGTACCCTCTACGATTTTCCTGAGGTATTAACCCCACAGTCCCACAAGTTCAAAATGCGGATGGCGCCTCGCCGAGAGGAAATCCGGCCGCAACAGCCGACACAACTATCCAACTCATACTGCGCCAGGGTTTCTCCAGCGACGTGATACTGGAACAAGAAATTTCCAGCCAGCGGACAGTAAGGGACGTGAAGGAGCTAGTAGTTCTGGACTTTTTGCAGCAGCCGGCCTATGTCAAACTAGTGCACGGTATCGAGGTGCTCGAAGACGACACGATATTACTATCCACACTCGCGGGCAGCGGCCAGTCTTTGGAGTTGTCTGTAGTGCTGCAGGCTTCATCCCCAGGTACTGAAGCGAAGTGCTTTGCTTTGGTTGACGAGATGCTGGAAACAGCTAAAAATTCGGTTTAACAGGAATTATTGATATTGTATTAGCTATTCGGTACGCAGACGCTGTCGTAAAAGTTACAACCCTTCATCTTGGACAGCGTCATGACTTCATGAGTCATAGGCTCGTTAGTGGTTGTTCTCATTCTATCCAATCTTCTTGTTCACTCTTTTTAGTCACTGCTCCTCCTCACGAAGTTTATGCTGGATAAAAAAAGAAGCTGCTTGATCTCATATTGATCATGTACGTGATGGAACAATGAAATCTCTACCCCTCTGTCATATGACTGAAAAACTCAGGTGTAAAAACGTACCTCCGCCCGTTTGATGATGATAGCGCGAAGGGCGTTAGCCGAGACAAGAATATGCAGAAGTTCATGGAAGTCCACAAGCAGGATATTTCTAGCCACCTTCCGGATTCCGTTGGACACGAGGAGAAGGAGGCCGCTCTGTCGTTGGTTCCTCAGGTCTGGACAGGCTTTGCCAAACACAATCCTCATCTCACTGGGCGTACTTCCCACGTCGTGGGAGAAGAACTCGACGGGCGCAAGGTCGTGATCGGAGTCACGGGCGCAGATAACGATGCATATATAAGCTCTGTTGTTGGTGCGCCTAGAACATGGGTAAATGCGATGCAATTTTTGGTCAAGAAGAACAAAAAGACGCGTGGCAGGCAGATGAAGTGGGTACCGGTTCGATACGTGAGGCCAGATGGCCCATCAACGTTCACTTTGTTGATGTTGGTTCTCGCCACGGTGACGGCAAGTCGTTCGGAAGAAGCTCTTATTTTGGGGGTCATTGTCTAATTGATTGAGACCAAGCATCTTTAGATCTGAGCTCTGAGGGACATACACATTGTCAACGCTTCATCACTGTACAGATTCGAAACGACATTCAGCTCCTCATAATGAATCGTGCATAGATTTTGTCTTTTTTTTTCTGCATGAAGGTTTCAGAACGCATGACCCGGTATAGATCTATCTAGTTTTTTCTGTTTTCCTTGATCATTGATGACACGCACCTTTGAGATTCAGAGTATCGATTGCAGATGGGCAAATGGGTTTTACAAAATGACTGTGGAGGATCTCTACGTCCACATGAGACTGGGAATGAGCAAGAGAAGATTGGTATACCTGTGTGTGGCTCACTGCTGTCCCTTCTCCGAAGGGCACCACGACGTCGAGTGGTCGCGGAGGTGGGTCCGAAATACCACTCCTCGTGTTGACGTGCTCTTGTTGTATTAATGCGAGTAAGTAGATGAGAACTACAAAGTTGAGTAGAGTCTGCGAGCGGATCATGTGCAGGAGGGAATGAAGATGTTAGGAGTGTGCATGTCAGTCATCGTTAGACGAAAACGACACAAAGGAGCGTTGTGCTGTATCCTTTTTATTGCAAGAGAAGTCCTAGTAGAAGTACTAGATTTAGTGTTTCTTGTGGTGGTGCCAGCAGAAGTTGCCGTTTGATTTGGCATCTTACTCTTTTTAGCAAAACAAGATGTCTTCGAGCGACGACAGCGATGAAGAGGAGACCGACGAAGAGACCATCAACATCAATATTCTCTTAAGGCTCGTTCTTTTGGATACATATACAATTTTTTCTATTTGTTCTTAGGATTTAATTATGAACAAGTGTTGAGGTGGGATGTCCCAATTTTTCATTAAGTTCCGCTCTAGAAGTATTCTTGTTTTGAGCTCTAATTGAGGTGGGTGCTTCTTATTTTTTCTAGTAGAGTTCGTTGATTGTTTCATAATTTTTGAGCTTCTCTAATTCAAGGAGGTGCCCAGCAGCGGCAGGCGCCTGCAGAAAGTTCGGAATCAGAGGAAGAAGACACCGACCCCAGCGAGGATGAACAGGAACAGTCGCTGCCTCCAAGTGATGGGCTTGGGTCTCTTAGCGAGGAGGAAGAGGACACAATGTCCTCGGAAGCGTCGGAAGCGGCTTCGGATGGTGCAGAAGCGATGCAGACGCAATTAAGGCTTAGTAGGAAACTGTAATCCATCTTCTGAAGCATCTCAGACCTGTCCCATAAAAAGAGAAAAATTAATAGGTCTAAGATGAATCCCGCGATGGATTAGGGTGAGCTCTAACGCAATCTTCGGAATTTCTCGAGAGTAGTATACCACCGGAAAGCGAACCTCCTCCACCATCTTCAAGTGCAACGGCTACAACAGAGTCGGCAAGTGAGGAAGAAGAAGCGCCAGAATTCGCAAGCGATGGAGCGGAGGCCGAACAGCCACAAGTGGTTAAGGCTACCGCTGACCCATTGTACATTTAGAACTTCTAGTTGTACCAACAAGTAGATCAAGCTGAAGTCTTTCCTTGTTCTCGTCAACATCACCATTATCCTTGATGGTTCTCCTTGTGATTCTAAGTATGTGGAATATCCCTCACCATTCTTTTCTCCTTGCGACATCCCTTACTCTTCAAACATCCTGCTCTTCAAACATCCTGCTCTTCAAACATCCTGCTCTTCGAACATCCTGCTCTTCAAACATCCCTGGCTCTTCAAACATCCTGCTCTTCAAACGTCCTGCTCTTCAAGCATCCTGCTCTTCAAACATCCTGCTTTTTAAACATCCTGCTTTTTAAACATCCCTGGCTCTTTTTCTCTTTGAAAGGATCATGGATGGAGTCGGGGAAGCGAACGCGGTAGCTCTAACGTGATTTCGGAAGCTAAGGAGTCGGAGTCTCCGGTGAGTTCTGCCGGTTATGATGAACACAATAAAGCTTGTTTGACTTTGATCTACAAGTGCTTCAAATAGAGATCATTCGACTACTTGTTTAAGTAGATCTAGCACTTCTACATTGGATCGAGATACGAGAGTACTTGTTTAAGTGGATCTAGCACTACATTGAATCGAGATACGAGAGTACTTGTTTAAGTAGATCTAGTACTTTATATATAAGTAGACGAGAAAGAGATAGAAGAGTACTTTTTTATGTAGATGATCTAGTACAACTTTAATCGCAGTTCTTAAATGAGTTAGTGGTCTTAGATGAGTTACTAGCGTACTGCAGTTGTACAACTAGATCATCATCATGTCTAGATGAAGATGATATAGCTCATGAAGACATGATGAAAAAAGTTTTTGTTTGATCGAATTGAAAAGTAGCTGTAGTTGGAGTACAACGACCAATTAAGAATTATAAGATTACTTAATATAGCTAGGCACGACAGTGATGTGACACGGCCATGAAAGCTTCTGTCAGGAGCCGCCGAAGTCTTAGATGAGTTAGCGTACTGCACTTGTACACCTAGATCATCATCATGTCTAGATGAAGATGATATAACTCATTACTTAAATCTTATTATACTAGCAAACGGTGTTGGCAAAAGTTAGAAAAAGAGGCCGTCTACAACACCGTGTATATCATGCAGCTCTAGTAGTAAGTAGATCTAGTGGTCTAGTAGTAAGTAGATCTAGATCTCTTCATTCCTGTCCCGAGACCGCCTCTGAAGACGACGAGGACGATGGCGATTTCAAGCATGTGATTAAAGCGGAGCACTTCCCACCAGGTGTGATGCCGTATCAGACGATTTTGACAAAAAATCTACTAGCTGGCGTTGGCGTACAAAATTATGGACACTAGATGGAGTAGAACTAGTTGGAACTAGTTGTATGTTGCTGGGCGGGAGGAAAGACACTGGAAGTACTTAGCGGCGTGTAGCTAAGAGGCGGCGCTACCGATTACCGTACGCGTTCAAAATCGCCTCAAGTAAGTCGCGGAAGCAGACGTCATCAAGAGCAGCCCTCTACTTTTTGGTCTACTGGGCAAGAAAAACTACTACATTTGGGTCGTGGATCATCATCTACATTTTTTGGGGGGAGACTTGTTTTGTTGAAAAGTTTGTTGAAGAGATGGGCGTTGTGCTTCATCGTTTGCGTAGTCGTAGCGCCTGGCCGTTGTGCTTCAGGCTCCCCGCGGGGTAATTAAATGGAACTATGGCCGGAAATTGTAGACACAGGCCCCCAAAAAAAAAAGTTCGTTGAAGACCCCACCGGGAATAAACGAATGTCCGACCACAATGCACTTCCTCTAACCTAAAACCAAGCCAATGGATATGACGGATGGCGAGTATATCGATCGCGTAATCGACCCAGCTCTACGTCCACTAGTTGACGATTTGTCCAAACGAATGCCCACTAATCCAATGGCGTACATACGGATGTGGGTACTTCTAATCCTGCTTTCTGGTGATAGTACTTCAACACCTTAATATTATTATTCAGGCGATGACGATTCCGAATCCGATTAGGATTCTTGAACTGAATAATAATTTCTCTTGTGCAATCAATTATCAATTTCAAGGCAGCTTCTAAAATCGAGTCTACAACTTGTTTAATCAGATGACCACAGGGACAAGACTTTTCCTTTTGTGCAGACAATTATGGAGTCGTTCCTTTATACAACGCTTGCTATCTGACCACAACATCAGTTGGACAACCCTCCTCCGTTGAACGTGACGATGTACGAGCGACGACGATACTACGACAGCACCATTGCACCAATTATCCACTCTATAGTCGAGGAAGCATTGATGCGACGACCTCCAGACTTTCTGAGGTGGCTCAGGGACCTCATGAAGACGACAGTGCTCAAGGGGAATCGACATATATTATGGCTGGTGCCTCATCTAATTCATGATCTCTGTGTGTAATGTGTATAATGTATCATCATGATCGCGCAAGCTCAACCGTAGTATAAAAATTCAAGGGACGTTCATATTTTTGAGGGAGCCCCTTTTTAACCTCGGTTCTGGCACTTATCTCACGCTCCTTAACCCTTTTTTTGGGGGAGTTCCATGGGGCTGAATAAGAGGCACTAGCTCATCTAAATATAGGCGCGACAAGCGATGGCCAAATCCCCTTGGCCTACAGGGACTACGTCGCGTCGGATGAAACCATGCTGCAATTGTTGAAAGCAGCTATAAACAATCCGGATCCACCGAAGATCGGCAACAGTTTGCACACGAAAATCAACGACATCATCCAGCAGAGTGGGGGTGGAGATCTTAGTGAAGTTTTGCAGAAGAAAATTGCAATGCAGGATAATTTTTTGGTAAGGCCAAGGAAGGCTCAGGCTGTTCTTTACGATAATTCTTAATCATCTCTTTTTCTTCCACCGAGTAGACATAAGACCTAGGGGGTGTTTGTCTTGTTGTCAGAAAGTACAGCTATGTATAAAGAAGTACTAGGTCTTCTCCAAAAACTAGGGTAAAAAAGTACTACGCCAGTGAAGAGAAAATAATCTTCTAATTTTTATTGATTCAACATCATTTTTGCGCCCCCTCTAAGCACAGTGAACGCTGCCAATTCTGGCTCAGCCGGTGGTGACAAACAAGCCGTAGCGCAAGCTTTGATCGGTCTAGCGAATTCACTCATGGGTGGTGGAGGTAGTGGTCAGGAGACAATCGCTCCTGGGAGTCCTGCCTTTGGACCGTTAGTTAAGAAATCTTGCTTCGGAAGCATTTTTTGGTAATCCATCTTGCTTGCATCGGCTACAACAGAATCGGCCTATCTTGCTTGGGAAGCATCTTGGGGCACCGCTCTAAGGGAAAAACAGATTCAAGATGACTTTCAAGATGGATCACGGAAGAATCTAATTTAGGTTTTAACGTTGGTGGCGTGCCTGACGGAGCCTTACGCCAGCCAATAGGTGGCATGAATTACGCGGCGGGGCAGAGACCGACGAATTATGAGAAAATGATGCTGGAATAAAGATGAACGTGAAGGTGTCGTGAAGAAGAGTTTAGAGAAGATTTACCTTGCTTGTTTTTACCGAAATGCAATAATTACTTTATGAACTTTAGGTGTACAACTTATACAGCTCCTTTAGAGTGCGCTAATCCATTCTTCAGGAGTAGAACAAGGTGAAAGAATTGGAAGCTCATCTTCTAACTCATCTCGGGAGGTGTGGGTTTTAACGCGCACGCTTTGCACAACGTAAACCTAGAAGCCGGTCCAGGACTTTCTGCGGATAAGATTGGGCCGTTGCACCAATCTACTGGACAAACAATCGCCAGAGTAATGACTAACAATGCCCGCGCGAGGCATGAGGGAGAGACGAATTTGACTGGGCAGATAGCGCCGATTCCAACTGAGCGCGGAGGATGGGATAATGAGGTGGAAGACACCATGCGACGAGAGTGGAAGACAGAGGCTGATGAGATTTAAGGCTTCCCCCAATCCATCTTTGTAGGGATCCCTCAATCGCAATCGCATGCACCGAAATGCAATGGCGAACATTCTTGAGAAATCTCCGCCAGGATGAATTGGGGAGAGGTCTAAGAGGTATTCCGTCTCCATTTTGATCATAGTGCTGATACAAAAGAGCTGGGAGCCTTGCAAGGAGAACAGTTGCAAAAAATTGAGCATGAGATGCAAGGGGAAGGATCTGCGGCAGGCAGTGGCGGTGGTGGATCAATCGAGTCTGGGAATGAAGACGAACAAGCTGGTGGGGGTGGGGCATCAGCCTCAGGAGCTAAGAACAAGAAAGGTGGGTCAGATGGGTCAGCTGCAGCAGCGCCACCTGCACGAGCCAACCCATACTCATTCTATGCCGATCTACACGACGCGGATATGGAAGAGGAAGGCTGGCTGACCGGAGAACAAGCGTTTTTATGGAGGTACAACTAGACGCAATAAAGACAGAGACTTTCAAATTCAGTACGCTCTTCTGGTTGTCGTGAAGTAGTGACGACTACTTGACTACTTAGAGAGTCTGATTTATTTGACTCAAGTGAGTAGCTTGTTCATCATGAAAATAAATTCTCTGATAATGGTGAAAGCTACTCTTGACTCATCAAAAACCTCTAACTCTCGGCTCATCAAGTAAATCGAAATCGGCGAATACTAGAAAAAATAAAAACGATCGCGAAGCAGGGAGAGCGAGTTCACCATCTTCGAAGAAAAACAAGAAAGCATCTGCTTCAGAAAGCAAGGGAGAAGCCAAAGCACGTGGTCGAGACTCCTCCATAGAAAAAAAGTCCAAGAAAGAAAAGGGGTCGTCAAGGAAAGAAGACAAGCGTGCAAGTGACAGGGAGACTGTTAATTTGGAGAGTTCCCGAAGCAGACGAGCAACATCGAGAACCACAACGAGTCCAATATTGAAAGACACCTCATCTTCATCGCGTTCCTCACTCTTGCGTGCTCATGATTCCCCTAAAAGGTCCGTGACTTTTTCTCCCGACGTCCTCCGAGACAACGTCGACGTGTACCCCGCCAGAGATGCAGACTTGTACAGGGGTTTGAAGTACGACTATTCCAAAGCCACTAGAGATCGAGATCGAGATCCACTTACCACCACCACGGGTCGGCAAAGTAATTATAGAAGAGGTGCTGCTAGACCCACTTCTCCAAGAACTACAAGTGCCAGAAGTGCTGGAGGACACGATTTCGAACCAAGAACGAAACTCGCTGAAGACATTATCAAAGCTGCGAGGGCGACGAGAGTTGTAGATCGAACATCTCCCAGGAGACGTGCTGTTGGAGAAGGTGGCACAACAACTACTGCAACATCGGATGAACAATACAGGAGTTTTGCGCGTGAGGGTGCTCACACACGATCGGCAGGAGCTTCTTCTTCCAGTTCTAGCATAGCAGGAAAAACATCTTCGGCATCCAGAACAAGACACAGAATTGATCTTTCAAAAGTGAGCCACGGTGAACGTGAACAAGGAGCTTCATCACCCTCGTCGAGTCGAGCCTTGCAAGAGCTTGACGCTGAATTTGCTGAGCTCCAAGGTGGTCGCGGCCACAAAAATCAGAAGAGCGCAGGAGCCTCTGGACTCGACTTGAATAGTAGAACCACTTCTAGAGATCCCTCTGCGAGGACGCTAGATTTCGACTCCACTTCTGTTTATTCAGACGATTCAAAGGGATCATCTTCTACCTCATCATCTGTACGTCCTGATGGAGTTGTGCGTGTTCGAACTAGACCACGCGCAGGTGCCGCTGACCTTGGAGATCATACTGTTCGTTCGAGTAGAGAACTGTTGAAGGAAAGAAAGAAAACGAGGACTGCTGCTGCAACGTCCTCGTCATCGCACCAGCTAGTGTCTAGTACAGCGAGGATTACTAGTTCTAGTAAAACGAAAACCACTTCTTCCAGTTCGATGGCGATGACAAAAATAGACAAAAACTCAGCACCGGTGACTGGTGGTTATTTGATTCGTGTTACACGACAACACTTGGAGGAGGCAGCATCAAACCCGATCGTGGACGCAAATGTTGGAAGCTTGATGTCCCTGATGAAAGAGGCTGGGTTCTACGAAGCGTGGCGCAAAAGTGGAGACAAGTTGCCACCTATCGGCGATGTGCTCTGCACAGTGTCATTACCCACTTCTGCGTCCGGCGAATTGCCTGAGGCCTCGGACGACGAGCGTTTTGCACGACTAGTTCGGACAAAGGCCTTGTTGGTGATGCCAGTTTTATGGACTCTGATGTTTTTTAGTTCACCTTATATGCTATAATCCCACCTATTAATATCATGTTTAATTCCCCACGACCACCTCCTCTTCTAATATCTGGTCGCAAAGCGGTCATACCGCCACACGAGTTGCTCTCGCATAGTGTGAAAGCGATCGCTCTGTTTCTGCGCCGCGTCCTTCGAAATTTCCAGACGCTCTCACGGATCGAAGTCTTAGATCCAGGAGTCCAGCTTGCGGAGATGTATTCTACCTCTGCGTCTTCGAGAAGGAATTAAGGGTAGGTTAAAGGTGCTTTTCTTACCGCTTTTTATGCCTTAGGAGGAGAAAGGCATAACAAGCGGGGTAAGCGAGCACGAAAAACCTACCTCTAAAGGAAGTCGCGTCAAGAAGGGTCCTCTGGGTCTAGTCTTTCCAAACTCCAGCAAGAGGTAACATCAACCTGCGACACGCCAAGTTCAGTTGTGGATATGCGGCTTGCTAGAGCTGGATCTGTCGTGGGTCGACGTCTGCGCATGCTAGGGATCCTAGAGGAGAGTCTGGCGTCGTCGATCGTTTCGGACTCGCCTTCGGATGAGCGCGATGCAGCAAGTTGGCGTTTGGCTTTCGCTGAAAAAGGCGGCGAAGTTGTCGATATTATAGGGGCGAAAGAATGAAATCTTTCGCTGAAAAAGGCGGCGAAGTTGTCGATATTATAGGGGCGAACGAATGAAAATGATGCTTCTTGGCCACCTAGAAAAGGTTATAGATATTTACATAGGTGTAGGTCTTCACGTCGTTTAGAATTCGAAAAGTATCTATGTAATCTTCGTTTTTGCATAAGTAAGTGGGTGACCAGCATGGAGATTGATGACTGCTTTTTCCGATGTTCACAGTTTTTTTTTCAAGAATTGATTTTTCTGCATCGTTACATAAGGAACAAACTGGTTCTTGTTCCTTATGTGGATTCCACCACGGACACGAAGTTCGTGGAGGTCCTGAGCAGGTCCTACACTCAATATTTTTATCTACCAAGAAACACTTCTGCGTTATTGTTTCGTTTATCACTAAGAGAACTGAATCGACGTTGTTTATATAGAACACTCTCTCTATTTTCTGGACAGTTAAAAAGTCAGCAGAAAAAACGTAGATATGATCGACACGGCTTCGACTGTTTCGTGTACAGAAGCACCAAAAAGAGGGATGCGATTTGATTTTGGTTTTGCTCGATGGCTGTCTGATGTAAGAAAGAATTGCGATCTTCGGTTGTCATGGCAATTCTTCCAAGAAATGATAGAGTCCAACATTCTAGGATGAAGCCGAAGATTATAGGAGAGTATGAAGATTGGGCTTCACGTACTCTCGCAGGACTACTGCGCAGTCCCCTAGGGCTGCGATTCTGCTTTGATAGTTGTTCTTCCACTTCGCACAATCGGTCACAGCTTCAGATCTGGACTTATCTCTGCCAAGCTCTACCAGCAGCTATCCATAGTTCAGCATGGTCACAACTGCGTAGAGGTTAGCGTGAGATACAGAGCAGATGAAGCGTTGAGAAGAGAATTCTGTCGCATCTAATCAAGATCAGGACGCAGTGCTTGTCGTGGGCGCTACCTAGAGATGAAGAGAGAACCTAGAGTGATGAGTTGTAGAAGTAGACTAGATGACTAGGACTTGACGGAATAATTAGTCTGTATCGGTTGAAATCGGAGGAGTGGAACGCCGAGATGCAAGATGAAACATTTACCTCATATTCAGCCCATCAGCACCACGAAGATTCTCTCCATCTTAGCTTTTTCTATTACATACAGTGAGTGACTATGACTATCATATATCATAAATACTCCTCGCCGCTGACAATAAGAACCTGAGTCATTCATCTCCTCAATTCCTTTCAACCCAAATAATCAGGATCACAGGTGAGTTGAATGGTCCCATTTTCCCTGAACTTTTATTGTTTTCTATGTATCAAAATCAAGTGCATGATAGAAGTATCAACATTCAGATTTTTCATATCTCCATACATGATCATTATTTGAGTTCTCCCATATTGCTACCTACTATGCATTTTTGTGTCAAGGTCGTTTTCATTCATATTTCTTCATAATCTTCATACATAAACAACGCCAACTACAACTTTATTTACGACAACATAATATACCACGACAACTACGATAACGACATATCGATCATCAGAATAACTCCTACGTAAAGAACAACGACTTGGAGAAGGAACATCTTCAACTACTTCTTGCAGACACGACCAACATGCAGGAACAAGAGGAAGAAGTGCACACGGCACGCAGCGGCGAGCTGCACATGGTGTACGATGTGAGGGGTAACCTTCACCCGTGGCTCTATGCCGAAACCGGCGAGGATGGCGTCGATGTGATCTACGAACGGGAGAATCTCTCTCTCGAACTTGCGCGTATGAAGCGTAGACACCAAAAGAGACGCACAGTCTTCGAGGAACAGACAGCGTCGAGCGCAACATCTATTAAGGGCATGTTAAAGGTGCTTTTGATACCGTTTGTTATGGCTCTCCTAAGGGGGACAGCCATAACAAGCGGGATAAACGAACACCAAAAACCTACCTCTAAAGCTAAGATTGCAGCTAGTAGTTCTGAGAGGACAAAAACCAATGGCACTACTGGTTCTTCGAAGAGAACCTCGTCTCCAACGAACCGACGGGAGCTAGGTAGTCCTGCGTTTGCGAACCGTGTGCTCGGTGCTTCGACTCGGCCACAAATCCATCAGCTACAACAAGGTTACCGCCAACCACTCAACTTGTTCTACGACAACACTTCACCACTAGATGGAGCAGATGGAGCAGAAGATGAACAAGGCAATGCGTCGTCTTCTAAGGCAACGCGGCAACCAAAGGCAGAGGGAGAAAAATCGAGTCCAATAGGCTCTCTCCATCACAACGATTCGCCTAGCTCTCCATCCCGTGGGCGCAAGATGAAACGCAATGCAGATGAAGTAGCAAGCAAAGATCCTGCTGCTGAAGATGGGGCACGACTCGCAGCACAACAAGATGCAGCTGGTGCACCATCAGGCTCTCAGTTCTTGGTTACTCGCGGTGTCCCGAAGCGAGTTAGTTCTTCGACTAAATCCGAGCAGAATTTGCGACGGTCATTAGAGACCTCGCGAGAGCCAGGGGGGCGTGAGAAGATCGTGCTGAATGAAAGCTACGACATTGTAGCGAGTAGTGAACCAACTGGAACCAGCGTTGCACCCTCAAAAAAAGTTTCAACCCAAGAACCTCTTGGTACTTTAACATAATATTTGTTTTTCGTGGAATTGATAGATATTGATGTTAATTGTCGTTGTACTTACTATGTTCTCGAGATGAAGCTCCTTTCTACTAGGAAAGTTGCACTCTTTCGCCGATTTCATCACCTATAAATATTTTCTAGACGAGAGGAAGCGTAGTCTACTTCATCTTCAAGTTCATATTCTCTTTTGAAATCTTAGCTGCAGCGGCAAAGGACGTACTTGGCGGTATGTTTGCAAAAGCTTCAGACATGGATCGAACGCGAGGTCCAAATAACACCGTTGTTTCTCGGCGACGATCAGGTAGGACAAAGGCTAAGGTTTTGTATGAGATTCTTCTAGATGGCAACCGAACCATTTGACGTTCGAGTAGAAACTCTAACTCGCATCTATTTGTAGATCTGAAAATACTAGATGAATCATCATATTCTTCTCCTCGGTATCCTCTGCTCATCATATTCTCCTCCTTGGTAACTTTCACTCCAGGAGGAAGCAATAACGCATCACAAAGTCCAGGATCTCGTAAGCGTGCGATAGGCGGAAGAGGCCCTCCGAAGGTCTCGTCTACGTCCGCTTCTCCCAGCGAGCAAGAAGGCGCTTCATTTAGTGCAGTGAACGCGAAGAGTCGGGAACCTGCTCAACAGATAGTACAACGAGGTGAAACGTCGAATGACGCAAGCAGTCCTCCTGGTGCAGCTTCTAGTACAACTGCGGCTTCGTCGAAGAAGGTAAAATCCGGTTACGAGAGTCCCAAGAGAGCAAGGGAAGCGAAACGACGAGACCAGCTGGAAAAGGTGTATGGGAAGCCTGCGCGCATCATTCAGAAAGCGTGGCGTGGCCAACAGCTATTCCGACAACAGTCTCACGCAGCCGCGAAAATCCAGAAGCAATGGAAGAAATCCTCATCGAAGGACAGTGTAGGTGGATCGCCAGACAGTAAAGCAACTAGTGATCTAGACAGCGATGTTGACGCGCATACCAAAAAGATGGAAAGCAGAAGTAGTAAAAGAAGTAATATTATAGATGGTACTTCTACTGGTAGGACGAGCAAGACGAGTAACAAAGCAGAGGATAGCAAGAAGCAAACTACTACAGCAGACTCTTCATCTGCAACTTCAGCTGCTAAAGACAAACATCAAAGGAAAGCTGACAGGAAAAAAGCAGCTGAGATGGCAGAGGCACAAGAGAAGGCAAAGAAAGCAAAAGAGGAGCAAGACAAGACGCGTACTTATGATTTTCATTGCCTCATCCTGGACGATCTGGATGTTGAATCTACCTGGTAAGTACTTAATATACTACATCTTGTTCTTCATCCACAGGTATCTTTGTTCTTCATCCACTATACATAGTTCATCTGGGCTCCGCTAATTGTTCGTGTCCAATCAGCTACATCTCCCTCTTCCATCTCAGGTGAGCGCCTAGTGAACTCCGCTTACGACCGCGTGGACACGGTGCAACTGGGATGGCTTTTGCGTCCGACGGCAAAAGCGATTGGCCAGAGAAGAGAGCAGATTTCTGAGTGGGTGAAGAAGACGCATGGGCATCATTTGCGCTTGGAGCACGCTGAAGCAAGGTTGGAGCACCACGCAGCGCAGAGTGAGGCTCACCGAGACGCGCTTGCGTCCGAGCTGAAGCAGGCACGATCGACGAACCAGCAACAGGAAAAGAGGATCAAGAAGCTGGAAAAGAAGCCGATGGATTTGGTGGCCGCTGCGCAAAGGATTGCAGAGCTAGAACGACGCTTGGAGCAAGAAAGCACTGCCGCAGCAGCCAGTCTGCAAAAATTTCAGGCGGCGCATTCGCCAGAAAAAGTGAAAGCCCAGTTGCGTGAGGTCGAAACTGCACTAAAAATGCAGCTGGACAGCTTGAATCGCAGCCACGAAGCCGAGAAAATCAAGATGCAGAATATGGAAGCAGTGTTGTTCGAAGCCTTAGAAGAAGCTCGTGTAGATGCGGTGGCTGCCACACGCCAGGCGCACGTCGAGCGAGACGCGAGAGAAGCAGCGGTCAACAAACACGCCATGGAATTGATCGAAAAACTCGCCATCCAAAAAGCAGAGCTGATTGCACAAACCAAGGGATTGACTCCACTTAAGGCTTCATCTTCCGAAAATTGGAATCCATCTAGCTACTGAAGGGACCCAGGTAGCATCAGGAAGACTTCTATCTCGTAAGGAAAAAGTAGCTTGCTTATGCTTCAAGACATATCGATCACCAGTATGATCTCAAGACGGACTGCTTAGGGCTCGCTCTAATCCACCAGAGCCCGTGATTGTGAATAGCAAAGCGCCAGGCCACATCCACATTGCGAGTCAATTGCGCAGTCCGTTTAACAAAAATGGACTCGGGATCGAGGTCACTGGTCCGGGTAATCCGAAAATCAACGCTCCAGACCTCATGCCCCTTCCGGACTCGCCATACCTCATGCCTGGTCTTGGACCAGTGTCTCCCAAGGGGGCGAATACGCTGGTCCCAGTCGTGCCGTCTAACGCGGGACGTGGGTCGAAGGCGAGTTCTGTTACGGCTTGATGAAGATGTTACTCTAGAAGCTGTTGTAGCTGTCGAAGATAAGCAGAAACTTCAATTAGCAAGAAGGAATCCTCGTCCATGTATATTGCCTCTTTCATATCAAGAAGTCAGTATCGTCTAATTCCTTAGGATCCAACAAGAACCGTTTTTTGCTGAAATCAGCTGGCAAGGAGAAGCCACATCTCCTCAATTACGAACCGCCTATCATAGAAGCTGCACACCTTGAAGTTCCGCCAAAGCCTATGACGATGAAGGGTAAAGGAAAGAAAGGCTTGCCAGCTCCTGCGCCGGAGCCGCCCGAGCCAGTAGTTGTAGAGAAGCCGCACAAGCCGACGACCCGGGAATCCACAGGTCACGTAGAAGATGCGTCGAAAATCTCATCCGAAGTCTACGACTCCGCGGGTCGAAGAGTTCTATCGGAAAGTGCCAAGCTTCAGGCGTTAGGGAAGGTTTTAGCGCGCATCGGGAAGGAACTGGATTCAGGCAAGATCGCGGGAGCTGTGCTTGATCTGAAAGAACAGTCTGATTTGTTCAGCCGTCAATGTGTTGCCGCGAAAGGCAAGGGGAAA